CCAGTCCAGGTACACTACACAAGGCTTTACTGAATACTGCTGTGTCTACTGTCTTCTTCTACTCTCTCCCCCAAATCCAAATTGTTCATTTTCGGTCTTTGTTACGAGCCAAGGCCCAAATCCAAATTCTTCTTTCCCCTCTTCATTTTCCTTTTTTTTTTTTTTTAATAAATATTTTAAATTTTTTTGAATTGTACTACAGTAGTATATATATTTTTTAATAAAATTGAACTAAATTTAATAATAAATTACTTACAGTAGATAATTCAGAAATTGGAAGGAGAGAAATTGGTGAAAATTAGGAAGGACGATTGATTAAAATCTCTTATTCCTCCCCTCCTCGTCCAAGTCCAGTGGCGATGGCAAGCAGATACTGGATGGTATCTCTTCCCGTTCAAAACTCTGCCTCCGCTCTCTGGAATCGTTTACAGGAACAAATATCCAAACAGTCCTTCGACACTCCTCTCTACAGGGTACTACTACTACTACTACTACTCCCCTTCAATTCCATTTCTAATCACACTATAATAATACTGCGATTATATGTTTGTTAATAATAATTCCATATGATTTTATTTTTCAGTTCAATATACCCAATCTTCGTGTAGGAACCCTCGATTCTCTCCTCGCTCTCACCGATGATCTCTTCAAGGTTTTAATAATTGTTATTATTATTATTGTTATTGTTTAGTAAATTTTGATTTTTCATTGAACTGAGGATGTGTTTCCTACCACAGTCAAATAGCTTCGTTGAAGGAGTATCTCACAAGATCAGGCGGCAGACCGAAGAGTTACAGAGGACATCCGGAGTTGAGACCACTGCTCTAACTGTAGATGGTATTCCAGTCGATTCCTACCTCACCAGGTAAATAAATTCTACTCTTCCCCAACCTTTGGATTCAATGCCTCAATGAGATGAGATGTGTTTTTTTCCCCCTTTCCCCTGCACGGAAGGTTTGTCTGGGATGAGGCTAAGTACCCAACAATGTCGCCTTTGAGGGAAATTGTGGATACCATTCAGACCCAAGTGGCAAAAATTGAGGATGATCTCAAGGTATTCCTCACTTCTCTTAGAGGGTTTTTATGCTTTGTGATGGATATATACTTATATAATATTATGTAGTGTTGTGAGATTGTAAGGGAGGAATTGTTGCCACCCTTAAAATTGACAATCCTTTGTTTCTTTCTTTTATTAGGTTCGTGTCGCCGAGTATAACAATGTACGTGGTCAACTTAATGCAATTAACAGAAAGCAAAGTGGAAGGTATTGCACTACTTTACTCGCATTGTAAAATATATCCAACTTTTATATTTCCTTTTAGTTTCTTAGCTGGTTCTTCCTCTATTATTTCAGCTTAGCTGTTCGTGATCTTTCCAACCTAGTCAAGCCAGAAGATATTATTACTTCCGAACATCTAGTCACTCTCCTTGCCATTGTTCCCAAATATTCACAGAAGGATTGGTTGTCCAGCTATGAAACGTTGACGACCTACGTGGTAACAAATATCATTACTGCTTCAGAGTTATAATTCCATTCCGTCTAACATCACCCCAGAGTATCACATGCTTTGCTGTTTTTGATACAATGCTTTCTAATTGACTTATTCACATAGTTCACTCTATATTCAAACCTGTAATATTTTCTACTGTTAATGCCTTTGGAACGGTTGAGTCTCATGATGCTGACTTTTTGTTCAGGAGGATTTCTAGCAACACTCTCTTTTGAACACTCTCCTTATGATTTGGCCCAGTGGCACATAACATTTATATTATACATTGGTGATAATTTTGAAATTTAAATATATGAACTTTTACTTCTACTACCATTTATCACCGATCACATAAATGTTATGTGCCACCCCATGTGGCTCAATTATAGGGAGAGTGTCCAAAAGAGAGTATTGCTAGCACCCCTCTTTTGTTCAGCCTGGAGCTGTTAGTTATTGTCCGGATGCTAGTTTTGACTGCCAAATGCAGAGTTTATTTTTCATTTATTAATTTTCAAATTTTTTTGTTCTGGTCTTCAGTCTAAATAACTCAAGTCATTTTCAGGTTCCTAGGTCCTCCAAGAAGTTGTACGAGGATAATGAGTATGCTCTTTATACTGTTACATTATTTGGTCGTGTTGCAGACAATTTCAGAACCAGTGCACGTGAAAGAGGTTTCCAAGTGAGTTCATCCTAAGTTGCTTTTGCCTTATTGATACATGGATGTCAAAATGTCTATCTTAGTATCCATACTGTGCTGGATTGATCATTCTTAAAAAAGAGAAAAATAGAGATGTTCTGTCAAACATTAGTATACAGTTGACTAGATGGGGATCCTTAGTCCGTGTTGCAATATCTCTTTTCTTGTGATTCAGATTCATGATTTTGAGTATAGTCCAGAAGCACAAGAGGGTAGGAAGCAGGACTTAGAGAAGTTGATGCAAGACCAGGAAAACCTGCGAAGCTCTCTTTTGCAGTGGTGCTACAATAGTTATGGAGAGGTATTCAATACTTGATTGCTAGGCTTTTGTAAGAACTGGACTTGGTATTCAGCTGATTGTAACTTTAATGGAGATTGCTATGGTATTATCTATTGTTTGGGTTGTTGCATCTTCAGCTATTCTTTTTATCATCATTAACATTTTCTTTCTTAATCTTGGTTCTTCAAACAGGTTTTCAGCTCCTGGATGCACTTTTGTGCCGTACGTGTTTTTGCAGAGAGCATACTGAGATATGGTTTGCCACCATCGTTCTTGGTAACCCCAATGATTCCTTGAACTTTTCCTAACCAACTTTTTGCTTGGCCACTAACTGCTGGTTTTTTGAGATGTGATTTTAGGCTTGTGTTTTAGCTCCATCTGTGAAGAGTGAGAAGAAAGTAAGATCAATCCTTGAAGGGTTGTGTGATGCAGCAAACAGGCAAGTGAAATTAGGTTTACATTTATTTTATTGCATAAAATAAGTGAAATTAAGTTGGTTCTAGATGGAAAGCATTAGATCGGTCTAGAAGGTGAAGGTTAAAATAGCTGAGAGTTTGCATGATGAGATGAATTTTATTTTCCTTTTCAAATTCATACTTTTTCTTGCTAGTTGATTGTATCATTTGTTAGTCTAACAATATTCTAATGGGTTCCTTCTTCCCATCTCAAATGCAGCACATACTGGAAGTCTGAAGATGAAGTTGGAGGGGTGGCTGGTTATGGAGGCGATGCTGATGCCCATCCCTATGTCTCCTTCACAATCAATCTTGCTTGATCTGTGCTTAGCCTTAAAGTACTTTGTCCAGGTTCAAGAATATTCATAGTGGACAACGATAATAAGGGCAAGGATCATAAATGCTGTATATTAGATTCAGTAGCTCAATTCTTTGGTTCTTTACTTATGTTCGAAGATTAGAGAGCTTTGTTGGAATCTTGTGAAATGGAGAAGCTGGCCTGTCAGAAACATTTATTTTTGTGGTAGACTTTCATGGGACTTAATTTTGGCATACATATATAGTAATACTCACCGACTCTCTAGGCCTAGGCCTTACTAAATTTTATTGTGATATATAAATGCATTCGGAGGTGGATTTTGGTTAAACAATTCTAAGTTCACAGAAATTGATCAGAAGGGAAACTGAGATTCTTGAAGCAGGTGAAACCTCCATCTACAACCAAGTTATGTCCCGTAACATACTTGGCTTCATCAGAGGCTAAGAACAATGCAGCCCTCGCCACATCAATGTCTTCACATTTGGCCCCCTTGAGCTCCCCGAGTCCATTAATCACATCAATCACCTTCTCTGTGGTAGCGGCGGGAAAAATATGAGCTATTGCGGTGATAGACGTTTTGGTCGGAATGGGTGCAGGGGAGATGCAGTTGATCCTGACCCCATGCCGGCACAGTTCGCTGGCCACAGACTTGACAATTCCGGGGATGGTGAATTTGGATATTGCGTATGGATGTGGACCAAGGCCACCCATAAGGCCACTGATACTTGAGGTGCAAAGAATGGATCCTGAGCCAGCTGGAATCATGACTCGCGCCGCATGCTTTATCCCTGCAATCATACCCCCAACGTTGACTCGCATCACCCGATCAAACTCCTCGAGATCAAGGTCAGCGATGCTGGGAGGAATAGAGTGCCCTGTTATTCCGGCGTTGTTGTACATTACGTCCAGTTTACCATGGCGAGCCACCGCAGTTTGGACGGCTTCTGCGACTTGACATTCGAGGGTGACATCACAGGGCACAAAGTGGGCTTGGGGACCCAACTCACGTTGGGTTTGCAGGCCGAGCTTAGCGTCTACATCTGCTATGATCACTCGGGCTCCATGTTTGATGAAGTGGTGAGCCGTAGCCTTGCCAAGCCCGCTAGCACCTCCCGTAATTAAGGCTACTTTGCCCTCTAATCTCCTGCTGCCCCCAAATAATTAAAATCAGTCAAGATTTCAATTCAACTCAACTCAAGACATGCAAGATAATATGATTAAGCTAGTTTGCAAAATGCATGCATTAATGAATTTACCTTCCACTGCTGCCGCTGCTGTCGCTGTGGCCAGCGCTGTCACCACCACCACCATTGCTGCCGCTGCCGCTGCCGCTGCCGCCCGTAGAATAAAATTTCTTTCCATTGGCGACGATAAGGCTGCGGTGCCTGCAGAATGCGTGGGATCAATAGATGTTAATTAGTGCAAACAACAATATTAATCAATTACTGAAAAAATTTAAGAAAATATAACATATAAACCTGGCTAATAATGGCAATGGTCTCAACATATTTGTGAAATTAAGGATGGAATTGAAAGGAACAGAGGAAGGAAGAAAGAAACTCTTAAGCCTTTGCAGTTTGCAGGGCTGGAGGGAGGAAGGGAGGAGGAGAGAGGGATGGATGAGAAATGAGAAAAGAAAGGCATAACATGTCCCCTATTTAATGATCCTCACAATCAAACACCAAGCAAAATTAATTACTCGACCATCCACCTTTTTTTTTCTCCTGCTGATAAGGGATACAATTAATGCTACAAATTTTTTATTTAGAAATTTGAAAATTTACTACTATTTAGTAGTACAACTCTCCTACAACTTGAACCTATTAATTAAGATTAACCCACAGTATGATCACATAATTTTGAATGGACTACTTAAGACAGATCACAGTTGTAGCTCAATGTTGAAACAGGGAATATCATCATAAGATATGGATTCTCCATCAAGGAAGGCTGATGGACCGACCATTGATCCCCTAATTAGTATAAATATATATTTTTTTCAACCAAAGATTAATTAATTAAAGGAAAATGGGAAACCTTTTTAAAAGACTATCCTACACTCTATATATTAGGTTGCAGGAACTCTTTTTTAATTTAGCAGATTCATTAGCTGGACCTACTACAAATACATTATTGTTGATTGTCTGCTTTCCTTTATTTATTTTGTTTCTGAAAGTCAACTCTTAGCCGGCAATTCGGTAGTAACATGTTAAGGAAAATGACAAATTACATGTCTCAAGTTTGAGATTTAAGTTGAGATTTAAGTTAAATGGGAGAGATTTGAGGATAGATGAGAATTAATTTTTTATATATATATAGTTTATAATTAAATATACTAAAAAAATGTTAAGAAAAATGACAAAAAAATGTTAAGAAAAATGACATTTCACAATTTTTGTATACAATTTTTACTTTCAATTTTAGATGTTAGTTAATTTTGTTTTAATTTAATTGTCAATTTTTCTATCAAAAAACTACTGAATTAGAAGAATTCTTCTGCAAATACTCAATGATATTAACTATGAGTTAGTACGATTATTCTTATAAATTATAATTTCAAGTCCTATGAATTTCCTTTCCTTAATCCCCATTTCTCTATTTTCCGAAAATTGTAATCCTATTAAAAAAAAATGAAAATACTGAATTGGAACATATATCACTTTTTTTTTTTAAAATTGACTTTCTTTTTATTTTTTCAATTTGTTTTGGAGATGCTGCTATACTTATACAAGCTGGAAAGAAGCATGTACCTTGCTTTTCCAACTGCGCGCAAGGCGGATAAGAGTTTTGGTCTACTCTTTCAATGTTGGAATCAACAACATGATGATCCATTTAAGTTCATAACCATCCCCCTTGATCCTACTAAGGATGCATGAAAACCCAAAGAAACATTCATAAACATTAAAACAAAAAGTGTTTTTTTGGGTATGAATTGCATTTTTTTTTATATAGTTTTGGAATTGAAATTATAAAAATATTATTAATAAATAAGTTTAAAGAATAATCCTATTAAAGGTATTTAACTAATTTAAATATTTAAATTGCATAAAAAAATATAATCTATACTAAAAACCCATTTTTGTAAACATAATATTAAGAGAATAATCAAAATTAAACAGCACCACAACATTTAAAATCATATACTATATATTTCACATAAATACAACCAGGCGCAGTTGAACCATGATGAGTGATAAATTAAACTATATAATAAGATAATTCGCTCTTATTAATTTCTCCATATTCCATATATATTAATGGTATTATATATAGTATATGTTCCGACCAGATAGTAGATTGGGGCAAAAGAGCATATGGGAACGAAATGGTTTATCTCAAATCGCAATGAGTTAGGAAGCGGTCGCTTACTAGGTAGGAAGCAAGCGAACATTGGGTGTGCCTCACTGCAATTGCCACCGGCAATATTTATATACGTGTTATATATATATATACGATTTTTTTAATTTATATAAATATGTGTAAAAATGAGGAGCATGGTGGAAAACAGATGCAGAGGTATTAATTAACAAGGAAATTATTA